CAGCGCTAATTACTGTGTTCTATTGACTAATGCTAATCACATAGCAGCGCCAATTATCTGGTGGCTTCCCTTGTTAAGTTTCCACCTTTTGTTATCTTATTATTGTTGTCCTTACATGTACATATATATGCTCTCTGCCTCACGGCATTCATTTACCTGATGAAGTAGTAAGCATATGCCCTGAAACGTTGTGTTCTTCATAATAATGAGTGAGTTTGGTTTTACTCCGCTTTTATCAATACTCCAGCAATATCACCAGGTATGAGTTTCACACATTGTCGGGAATCGAACCCGGGTCTTCGGCGTGACGAACGAACGTTTTAACCACTAGGCCACCCAACCGCCCGTTCCTCATAATAAAGAAGTTTACATCCATAAATTCTCTTTCTTATTACTGTCATAGCGACTGATTTACGACTACAAATGTCTGAAGTACATTTGATTGCAAAGGCTAATTACCCTGTAGCCATGACATGAATATATCTCCGTAACTTAATTGTCATTATTTATAAGACACTAATCCCCGTTGTTAATCCTCACCAACATTTCATTGTATTTTGACTGTCAGTCAGCCTGGACTACCATATCACTTCCCTTTAACTACTGCTTTTTATAGTATGGCATTTATTGCCCTAATTGATCATCCCATGAACTGTGTTGGTTAATCACGCCCACATGTCCAATGTCCAAAGCTACGTCGTTGTATCTTTGTCTGCCCATTGTTGTTCATTACTATATATGTGCTACCATTACACAGTTACTACAACTCCAGTCAGCCCTGGACGGAGTAGACCAATGGTACAATAAATGGGGATTCACCCTTTCAAGTGAAAAAACTGTTGGAGTTCTATTCAAACGCCGGGGGAAAGATGCTATGATACCCCGTGTCTCCATAAAAGGCAAACATATCAAATTCGAAAAATCTGCAATATTTCTTGGGGTGATCCTTGACCAACACCTCACTTGGCGCAAGCATATAGAATATGTCGAAAACAGATGTCAAAAAGTCCTGAACGTATTACGGGCAATTTCAGGCACATCTTGGGCCACATCGAGGGACACTCAGCTGGACCTCTACAAAGCTCTTATCAGATCAAAAATTGACTATGGTTGTGAGGCTTTTCATTCAGCATCAAATACCCTCTTGAGGCGCCTAGACAGAATACAATACAAAGCCTTAATGCTAGTCACAGGCGCAGCGACAGACACCTCACTAGAAGCACTACAAGTAGAAACGGGAGAACGCCCATTGAAACTAAGAAGAGAGCAGGCAATATTATCGTTCTGGGGACGAACATCAAACCCTTTGGTTAAAAAGATATGGCAAGACAAAAACACTCGAGATGAAGCCCTAACTCGAAAAAATCCCTCACTAAAGCCATCTGGGATATTACTACGTGAACTCATTCGAAGTCACAATTGCGATGACATTCAGCCTCCAGAAAGTCACTACAAAGGGTTACACCCTCCCTGGACTTTAAAAACTCCCAAAGTTGACACTGCTTTAACATCAGAAGTCACTAAAAGAGAAAACCCAACCCTACTACGATCAGCAGCTATCACTAAAATTCAAACTACCTGGGACAGCTGGGCCCATATATACACTGATGGATCCAAGAATCCTATCAACAACACTGTTGGTTACGGGATCATTATCCACAGCTCCAAACCCCAAGCACATTCAGTTCGCTTGCCTGATGGTCAGTCAGTATTCACGGCTGAATTGGAGGCAATTCATCATGCACTCAAACTCATACCGGAACTCCCGGAAGTATTCTCTACATTATAGATAAGGCAGTACGGCGTGGGCTTACGACAACGTGATATACAAGTGTATATATGCGTAATAAATATAATAAGTCGATTGCGCCACACCAGCTATTTTGTATCAACTGTGATGTTTTCTTAACCTGGCTTCCAAAATGAAACAGTCAGTACCGTAATAAGCCTTATTATATGTATACTAACGGGGGAAAATAACAGTGCTTCACATAAAGCTCAGTAGAAATAAATATGTTATGAAATTTAATAATGGGTCATGATAAATGTTCATTATGACATCTCCACGTCTTTTAGGTCGTGATTCCACGCCTAGCTTGGTGTAGATAGCATCTTATGTTCAGAGGCTGGGGTGGTATACTGTTCACAGATAAGTTCAGGTTTCATATGGACAGCTCTGATGGTCCCGCAGGGGTCTACAGTCGTCCAGGGGAACATTTTAGTGACGTCTGCTTACTCAACGTTGTCAGTTTAGGAGGTAGGAGTGTAATGGTTTGGGCTGGCATCGTAACTCATTGGAGAACACATAGCGTACGCTAACGACATCGTTGGAGATCATGTTCCACCTTTTGTCTCATCACCGATTTTCGGTCCTCCATTCATATACTTTTCACCGCTATTTAGCCTTTTAGGACCTGTTACCATGTGATTTGACTGCGTTTTACTTTTTGTGGTTCGTATAGTTTGTCTTTTCCTAATTTAATTTCAGTGCCATATCAATCTTGTCTTTTCCTAGTAAACTTCCGTTCACGAAAGAACGTCCTTGATGGTCATTGGCGCCGAAATTCATATTACACATTTGCATTCCGCACTTATCCAGACATGGCTGCTCAACTGTGGTATATGTTTTCCCTGATCCCTGGCTCCCGGTATCATTCTCAACTCCCTGGGGAGTATGCAACCCATACTGCCTTCAGGTGCAGACGGTTTTTACACCCTCCCCACACATTGGGTACCCATTTCCTGCTGTGTGAACAGAGACACATTTAAACTAAGTCACTTGCCCATGGTGATACAACACGTTTTGTCACATGTTATTGTATGTATCTGGTCAACTAGCAATGGATGATTGGGTTCCTTTGAGTGCAAGGGGTAACTGTACTGTACACTAGGGGTGACAAAACCGTAAAGACATGTAAGCCTAGGCTGAATGGTTTAACAACATGGCCACTAGCAGGATACAACCTCATGATCATCACCTGGCGCCTACTAGATTTTAGATCGCTCGCCCACTGCGCCCAATGGAATCTGTTTCGACGGATACTCTAGAATAAGTTTTTATCTGGCGTTTTATGGTTACAAGGCATTCTGATATGTAAATGCAAATTATCAAGGGGGTTATCATGAATTAACAAGAATTTAGTTTTCAACCATTGCCTTGGCAGAGATTGGTATGTCATCTAAAATTCGACAAAAGCTACCAACATAGATTTACAGTTTACTAGACGGATGGCGATATAATATATATGTTGACAAAGTCGACAATTACAGTCGTTGACAGAATACGATACGTGAATTGTTACCATTTTTACTGTTGCTGTTAGCCTGTACTATTACTGACCCAGATGTACACACAACTGCTATATTTTACCGTACACATTTATCAACTGCGGCACTATTTAAAATTGGCTTTGGTGATTATCAGTTGAAAACATGTCCGATTTTAATACTGTTTACGTTATGTATCCTCTCGAGTGGCGCGATCCGTTTTATATTTTACAATTCAACGTTGTCACTTCTTCTCGTCTCTCTTGATTCAGATATTAAGTTTTAGGTTGTAATGATGTGTTAAACATTAGTATCTGGACCCGGTTGTATCAAACGTTAACGATACATTAACTTGTCATTAAATCTCCATTAATAAATGTGCAATTACATGCTGCTGTATCAAACTTTTAAAGACGCCATCCGTATATAAACGGGTCATTAATCATACTGTCACTGAACCAAACTTGATGAGTTGATAAAATGCATCCCTGGGTCCAGTCAGAGAACTTTATGTTTTGCACTGAAATGCTACAAAATACATAAAATACATCACAACACGAACGTCAGAAGTAATGCATTCGGTAATTATGACTTATCAAGCTTTCGAGTCAAGGGAACTGCTAGAACTTGTATCACTTGGTACAGGACAGGAAGAAGAAGGTGCTTGGTTGCAAGAACGGAATTGTGGTAAAATATATGGCAATACCTTACTCTAATTACAAGTTAATGGAAATTTTAGTCTTACAGTGACACACGATTATGACCATTGATAACTCATAACTAATGAAACATTTAGAATTAATGGAACTAGTAGGGATTAATGAAAACATTAGTTAATGAATATTTGGTACAACCGGGTCCTGTGGTTTAACCTAGGAAAGCCCACTGAAGCTGAAGCCCAGCCAAACTTACACAACCGCTTATGTCAAATTGACTTCATGTTTACAGCTGCGTGGTCAAATAGAACGAGTTGACAATATTTAGCACAACATGGACAAACTGGTTGCAGATGCTGTACAGATATATCACTGCCTTTAAAGAACGTTGTGGCAGTGCCATTGTGAATGACGCTTGTGCAGATTATTCGGATAAAACAACATCAAAACTCCAGTTCAAAATTTTCATGGTGCCCTTTTTCTTTCTTAAACTGAGACACTTTCAAGATATCCATAGCCTTAATTATAATTATCAGGCCATATTATCTTTTCACGTAAAATTAGTACTTAATGATATAACAAAGCTAGAATATCAATCAATAAAAAGTTAATTAAGTACTGGATATTATCATTTCAGTACTATTATAATGACAAACGCTCACCACTCGGGTTTAAGGTGAACTTATGTTATATACTGTGGTTTCTTTAAGTTAGTATATTGATAGCAATGCTTCCATTTTCGTGTATTGTACACGCGAGTTTCATGTATATATTATAACAACATCAACGTATACTATGACGGTCACAGTTGGCTGGTTGTTTAACGCCACCCTCAGCAATAGTCCAGCTATATGACAGCGGTCTGTAAATAATCAAGTCTGGACCAGACAATTCAGTGATTAATGTCATGAACATCGATCGACGAAAATGGGATCAATGACATACATCAACCAAGTCTGCGAGCCTGATCACCCGATCCCGATAGTCGCCTTTTACGACGGTCACAGTAAGAATCCTGGTAAGGTGCAGTGAAAGCAGCATATAAATCATGCTTTAACATGAGTATAATGCACTTACAGTCTATCCTGAAGTAGATTTTAACCTGTGCTGACTGTACTTGTGTCTGTAGATCCACCTTCCACCAGGCTGTAGATTCACCAACCTTGGTGTGGACTGAGAACGTCTCGCTGCTTGCAGTAGTCACTCCATCTACAGCATTACCAGCAGGCTGTGAAGGTTGGCGTGTTGTACTCGTCCATGCTGTTTTGTTCAGGGCGACATTTTGTCTCTCACCTGTAGTATAACCGATATGTTTTTAAAATATATGCATACATATGCGTCCGTGTTTTCTTGGCCCTCCAAGAAGAATGGCGTCAAATCCCACGTGACCTCACCAGACGACTGACTTTTTCTGTGCGTCGAAGAGTTTTTGCGTGTATTGAGGCATTTGGTGGTCACACACGCTACTAATGACTTGTTTTTGAACGTGAGCGATTGTTTATGTACTCTGCCTATTGTCCATGATTCTGAAAGCTCGAGTTTTGTACCACACCCAACTTTGGGGGGCTCTTACGTCATTCTCGGTCGCGGTATGATTGTCATTTTCAGTGTTGATTATGTTGATATATTGATCTTCTCAATACACTTCACTTCAAGCATGTATGTTTTGTTGTTTTTGAGCAAGAGTGATTTCAAACTCTGGTAAAGTTTCTTTTGGACGTCAGTTTATATTATTTACATATACAAACCATATATTTGGGTGTGTTGGAGTTGCTTAAAACATTTATTCAGCGTGATGACTGTAAGTGCATTTGACACTGAATGTAACACGAATTGCTAAGGTTTGACTTCATCTCTATACAAACTTAGGATACTCGACTATACTTTTTGTGAAATATAGTGTATCCAAATCATTTGTTTGAGTCCGTAAATTAAATAAGCCGCACGGCTGATGTGGACAAACATGTTTCAATATGCCCTCCTGCGTAAAAAAAGTACAATCTGATTCCCATGTTCATAAAGTACTATATTCAAACTATATTGTTTGCATATTAATTTGATAATTACTAATACCGTGAAGGATTCTCGTTCATCGCTCTGTGTTTAAACTACCCACTACAAATGATAACAGGATAAGGGTGGATCGGTCGATATCATGTGCCAAATAGTACACAATAATGAAAAAAAAGGAAAAATTCGTTAAGATGACCTTGGCTTGAGGCAGTTATGTCTTGTATGGATCTTTGAATGTTCATGACGGAAACCAAACTTGACTGAGGGTGAAATGATTATAGTAAACATTTAAAAAGTCGCCAATGTACTGTGTCAGTTTCATGAAAGGTGATCCCTCTTCTGTGATGTATTCTTCTAGCTTTATGTGAATACAAAACAGAAAGACAATTTTATGTAATGGAGATGCACGTGCATTTGTCGTTGTGAACGAATCATTCAAAAGATAAAGTGAAACTTGTTAATGATGACTTTTGTTTTGAAGAAGCAGATTATCCGATTTTTTATTTAAAGACGTTGGATACAATACACGCAAGTTTACCGTGACGAATTACCTCCCCTTCTACAAATTCCATGGTATTGTTTTGATATCTCAATAACTACTCTAGCGTATGGACAGATTAGATAGAAACTCGATGATTTGTTCTTTCGGGTTTGTCATCTTCTGATGACTCTTGTTATCATATCGTAAACATTGTATATCTTGCATTTGTTAAATTTCTTGTGTTTTTCACAAGTGTTGAAGCATACATTCATCAGGAGATGTATGTCAGCATGATATTTGAATGGGGATGGTCGGGTAGCCAAGTGGTTAAAGTGTTTACTCGTCACGCCGAAGACCCGGGTTCGATTCCCAACATGGGTACAATGTGTGAAGCCCATTTCTGGTGTCCCCCGCTGTGATATTGCTTGGATATTGCTAAAAGCTGCGTAAAACCCTACTCACTCATTCTGATATTTGAATGCTAAAATGTTTTTCTTTTTGCAAAGAAAAGGTGATTACTTCAAGCAATAAAATGACTAGTTTTTGCAAGTACAAATTGATTTGTAAATCCTCTGTAAAGTTTTCATAATCTGCTAAAGTATTAATCCATGACAGTTCTGGTACTGGAAAACATCGGATGGTAATTGTCGGTAAGCAACGACATGTCCGTATATGATTGTGGAAACCTGCAACATGTACCTTCGCTATCCTTTCAAACATGAGCTGATAAGTAATAAAAAATAACTGTTCCAATGCATCTCTGAATGTTCAGTGGGAAAACAGTGTATAGGGTTTCATTCACCTCCCTGAATTTCTAAAATATTCTTTCTTTCTGTTTTTTGTACTAGAAGTATAGCTATTTATGATTAATAAATTGCTGTTAATGGATAAACAGAAACATTGTAGAACATCAAACCTGCTTATCGTGTTATATCTAAATAATACTCAATGACAAGCATAATATGTGATTGATTATATCTAGATAATGAGTTATCTCACTTGTCAGGTATCTGGATTGACACCCCTAGCTTTCTTTGGGCGTGCAAATACTCAATGTTTTGCGCGGAGATCTACATATTTCTTTTCTAAATTTATGTTGCTTGTCGGATATTGTACATTATGCGTGAAAATGGTGACTCTGTAGTGGGTTTTGATCTTCTAAATAACTATTTACATGAGTACTTGCTCCTTGGATACCGGAGCCACATTAAATATGTTCCTATCTTCCCTCGATTGTTTCTGTTTTTGGTCCTTCTTTCACCATACTTGTATGTAGTTAACAAACTTAAATAGTAATACATACTACAAAGTAAGTTTAATTACACGATTACGTTAATGTGTTTAATGTGTTAATGTGTAAGCTTAGACAATTTTTAATAGTGATTGTAAATCATGGCATTTGAGGCCTACCCCATTATACTTGGGTGCCACGTACATCAAAATATAGCATGGAAAGGTATTATTTGTTTTATTATTCGGTACAAGTACACTATACACTCTTTTCGTGTTACATCTCAGAGCGTTGTAGTGGGTTTCACGTATTGTGTCTAACGTCTTTAAGTAAGATTGATCTGTTGTAAATTGCTGTGGAAGTGATTCAGAACCTCTTTAGGCATCACGAAGGTGAATCTTTAAACTTAGAGATTCGAAAAAAGCTCTCCTGAAGTAAGTTGTCCGTATGTCTGTCTTTCCATCTGCCGTTGTGTCTATCGGGGCACCGGTGACCCAGTCGCAATTCGCTGAGCAAAGACGCGTCCCTCAGGCACGCCAGAAACCTGTGATCTTGGGTTCGAATCCTGGTTCGCCCCAATTGTGTTTTATAGGTTTGTCTGCACCCTACCTGTGTTCGTGGTATCATGAAATTAGTGAACGTCTCAGAATTGCATTACTTTGGGCCTTACTCCCACATTTACTTGACACGCCGTGATATTACTTGAATACTGTTCAAAACGGTGTTAAACCCAAGTCACTAATGCATATAACTATCGATATGACTGGCGTTCTGTGATCTGTATATATGCCTTGATATTGACATGTATGGAAATGAATATTTCAGTTTGCAACATTGAATAATTATAGGCAATACAATGGTTAATACATGTACTTCACATATGCGATGTGGAGATTATTATACGTGCATGACTTGCTTTGTGTGATTTTACGAAACGGATTGCAGAATTTTTGTATTTCCCGGGCGAGAACGACATCATACATTGTACCTTACGCTATAATAAGATTCGAATGACCATGCAATGCCGCCCGAATGACGTACACTATACAGTGATATTAACCTCATGGGTAATACAATGAGTTATTATTTACATAATTTCATTTCTAAAAATTACATATTTCCTGCAAAATACTGATACTTTATACATATTACTTCATATTCTTTAGGCCAAGGAAGGGTAAGAAAATACAAGGCACTTTAACTGCGCCCCTCCGCTACACGAAGGACAATGTTTGGTGTTCTGAGACTGCTGTAGGAAAACATCCTCTGATGTCCACGTTATCCAAGTTCTGCACAAAGGTGATGAAGGTATTCTAATCCCCCATCTCTCTTTGTTAGTATGGTTCTGTATATAATACAGGCTTGGTTAACTGTCTACGTGGTGGCAAGAACAGTAGTTCACGGCCTGTCAGTTTGATGTGGAAGGATTGTCCATAATCCAACAAGGACTGGGGTTGACATACCATTGATCATAATTGGGGAGAATCTAGGATGAGAACCCAGGACCTACGATGCCCTATCACGGGTATGGTGCTGACTGACAAAGAGTTATAACCCGTGCTCGCAGTGTGGATATCGATTTCCTAACTGCATCCATGTGAATGTAACAATGTGCATGCTCTGGGCCCAGTAAGCAGTGAAGGTGTAGGTGATAATGAAGGCTAGGTATCACTGAATACACACAGCCACTGTAACCTAATATATATATATATATATATATATATATATATATATATATATATATATATATATATATATATATATATATTGCTTTTACTTTAAAAAACTGTGATTCATTTTCAGGTATGTATTAATCCAACTTCGATGTTGTTTAGCACCGGAGGGGTAGGATACGCTCACCTTTTTACGAACACCCGCTTTCATCACTATTTGATAGTGATTCATAAACACATATTCATAATATACTAGTAGTCGGAATCGTACAATCCGCTCTGCTCTGTACCATGACAGAATCTTTAATTTGCACATCATTATAAGAGAGCACAACAACATTTGCCACAAGGGACTGCAACAAGTGAATGCACGTCTGTCCATGCTTGGAACTGGATAAACCCATCGTCATGTTGTGATGTCTTGATGTCAGTCAGAGTCAGATCAGCAGGGCATGGAATCAATACCCGATATTTGGATCCGCTATCAAAGCAGCATGCAGGCCTCATAGCTTCGTGACTGCCACCACAATAAGAAATGACCTGCAAGACGCCAGTGGCGTTAACGTCTCTACTTATTGTATAATCGTCTCTAACAAGGTTGGTCTTCGGTCATGCATTCGCGTGCCGTGACCCGACATGTCACAACAGTCCAGCCCTGGGCTCCGGTTGGTTTCAGTGATGAATACCAAGCTCTTTAGGCGTCGTTTCGTCCAAAAGGATGTCATGAGTGAGTGAGTGTGTGATTGAGTATTGTTTAACTTTGCCTGAACAGTTTTTTACGATGTCACTGAGTGTCAGCCAGATGCGGGAGGAAAGCCGGAAGTGATGTAGGTACAAAACAAGCAACATAAATAATCAGGGCGAACCGGGAATTCGAACTCACGATCATATGTTT